TGGGCGCTATGGTGGGGGTATGGATGTGGGGGTCTCCTTGGGGGTTGTGTGGGGTCTGCAGGGTGGGGGATGGGGGGACAGCGTTGCCTGGGCACATGGCACGCGTGCGCAAACACACACACGTGTGCCACGGCACCCAGCCCTGCAGCAGGTCCTGGGCACCTGGGTCCCTCGCACACGTCCTCTCCCACGGCCACCCTCCACCCCGTGCCTCAGTTTCCCCCTCGCTCTCCAGGAACAACCCACAGCTGATGTCCCGGCACTGACTTTATTGCGGTGGGATTTCCGGCGGTTTGTGGCTACGGGGATGGTCTGCTGGGCCAGTAGGGCCAGGATCCATCCAGGCTGATGGTCATCTGGGCCACGATTGGTCCAGGCTGGTAGCCTTCAAGGCTGGGGTTTTTCTGGGCCGGGGTCCATCAGGGTTGGCATCCATTGGGCTGGTGTCCATCTGGACCAGGGTCCACCCAGGCTGTCATCCACTGGGGCCAACATCTGTTGGACCAGGGTCCATCCAGACCATCACCTGTCAGGCCAGCATCCACCTAGACCATGATCCAACCTTGCCTGCACCCATCCAGACCAGGACCCACGGGGCTGGTCCTCACTGCAGAGGAGAGAAGAAACCACCATCATTCCCAGCATCACCTTGCCCATCCATCCTCACCAAACCCCCATCCTCTCGGCTATGCCGGACTGGACCAGACACCTCAGCCAGACACCAAACCTCCAACCCCTGGAGATGCCACAGATCTTGATGCTCACCTTGAAGCCATACCAGGTCTCAATCTCACGGAAGAGGGAGTTGCCGGGGCAGTCGGTGTGACCCATCTGGCGGTGGCCACGTAGGGTGTAGTTGCGGTGGAGCCGGCCGGTCCGCACGGCGCAGGGCAGGAGCCCATCCCGTACCAGGGCGATGGTGTCAGGGTCCGGCAAGGTGGCCGAGAAGTCTCCAACGTAGCCCACGCCGTAGCCTTTGCTGTTGTAGCCTCTGGTGTGGGCCCCAACCCAGTACCAACCTCGACCTTGGTACAGGTATCCATCCGACCCCACCACGAAGCTGCAAGCACCCAACCTCGTCCTTGGTACAGGTATCCATCCGACCCCACCACGAAGCTGCAAGCACCCATGGGTCAACCTGAGGTGCCCGGAGATGGGTGACGGGGACCGTGGCGAGGTGATGGAGTCTCACCTGTAGCCGATGTCATCCCAACCGCGGGTGTCCTGGTGGAAGCGCTGCATGGCGCGCATGTCACGGGCGCAGGCGCTGAAGGTGCGGCACGGGGCGCTGGGTGTGGAGGTGTGGTGGATGTAGACGGAGCCCAAGGGGAGGGTCAACGGTCTGGGGGTGCCGCGGTAGGGACGGGCACCCCACATGCACCGGGGCACGATGGCCGGGCAGTCTGTGAGGGAAGGTAAGCGGTGGAAGAAGAGGACTTGCCTGGTCCCACGGGCAGTTGGGGACGTGGCAGTGTCCCCTTGGGGTCTTGGGGACATGGAGCATCTGCCCAGCTGAGGAACCCCTTGGCCTTGGACATGGTAGTGTCCTCCTGGGGTCCTCTCGTCTGGGGGATGTGAAGCATCTGCTCAGGGTGTCCCTTGGCTGGGGACGTGGCTGTGTCCATACAGAGGACATAGTAGTGGTCCGCCAGGGAGCACACCCGTGTCCTTCCAGGGGACAAAACAGTGTCGTGGACCCATTACCTGGGGGACATGGTGGTGTCCACCCAGGGACCACCACCTGAGGACACACCGGTGTCCATCTAGGGGACACAGTGGTGTCCACCCAGGGCACCTATGGCCGTCCATCTTGGGGACATGGTGGGGTCCACCAAGGGATCACCATCTGGGGACACAGTGGTGTCCATCCAGTGGACGTGGTGGTGTCCATCCAGGAGACACACCAACATCCATCCAGGGGACACACTGGCCTCCATCCAAGGAACCTGTAAGTGTCCATCATGGGGACACACCAACGTCCATCCAGGGGACATGGTGGTGCCCATCAAGGGACCACCATCTGGGGACACACCAATGTCCATCCAGGGGCCATGGTGCTGTCTGACCATGCCAGGCCACAGGTCACCAGCCAGCCCTCAGAGCTCTCCCCCCTTCCTCCCCCCCGTTTTTTTTTTTGGGGGGGGAGCAGATGTGATCTTGTGACCTGGTGTCACCTCCCTACCTACGTAGACTTCCGTGAAGTCCCGTGCTGCTTGGCGAGCGATGGCCGCCATCTCCTCTGTCCCCATGTCCTCCAAGAGCTCCTGGGTGGGTGGCAGCACCCGCAGCACCCTCAGCATCGCCGCCACCTGCTCCTCCAGCTTCCCCGGCCCCGTCAGCACCCCAAAATCTCGCCGTCGGTAGCTGCTGGGTGGTCTCCCCTTCTCCGTGCCGTTGCCTATCCCATAGTAGCCCCGGAGAAGATCGGCGAGCGGGATGGGTGCTTGGGCCAGGCGGGCACCCAAGAGCCCCCCATCCATCGCCCCGTTGGCGATGGCATCAGGGATGGGTGATGGGGGTCCCATCAGGGTGTAGTTTTGGGGGTCGTCCACGTCATCCCAACAACCGCTGGGTCCCAGCGTGGTTCGGTTACCATCACCGTCACGAGCCAGGAGGAAGGACGTCCCCAAAGCCTCGGTGATGGTGACGGCGTAGAGGGCATCGATGGGTGGCTCGAAGGTGGGGGGTGTCCACCCTGCTGCCCGCTTGAGGCCAACCTCGATGCCGGCGAGGAGGGGGCCGAGGGCGACGGTGGAGCCGTCGGGT